CACATTTAGTTCAGCACTGCAGAGCGGAGTTGAAAAAAGTCCGCTTTGGGGGGGGGGCTGCAATTTCATAGTCATGGCCACCATTTTGACTTGTTTGATCCCTCCCTGAAGGTGTCCTTACTCTGGAGCAGTAACAAACAAAGAATACCTTAAAAATATGATGCCAGTTTAAAACAGGGGAAATGGTGGGAGAAATTATGTCCGATTTTGATAAAAGATGCCCTTTTCCCCAAATTACAACCATAATTGAGCCCGAAATTTATGTTGTTAAGTGAAACATTTTTAAAGAGAGTTTTGCCCCATTTCATGATTTTTTTTGCCACATTTATTAACTGAATCACTGCCATTGTAAAATTAGTAACGCAGGTTGTTCAGTAAATCTGCTTCCCCATTGACTTTGCTGCTCAGGTCACAAAAGGTGATCAAATGACTCTGGGACACTGCAACTGTCATAAAGGTGAGTCAAGCATCCCAATGTAAATCATGTCACCATGGGGACGCTGCAATGGTGAAAAAGGGTCATAAGTTACTTTTTCAGGACCGTTGTAATTTCAAACAGTCACTAAGTGAACTATTGTAAGTCGAGAACTACCTGTACTCTACAATAGTGGTTGCCAACCAATGGGCCAGGGACACTGGTGGTCCACGAGAAAATTTTGGTGGTCCGCAGAGAAATGTCACCCCCAAAGCAATTAATCCAGGCTGTGCGGGAACACAAGGCTGTGTTGCCCACATGGCCTGTGGAAACACAAGGCTTGCGTTGCTTGCATTGCGAACAACATGAGGTAGTGGGGCGGGGGGAAGGGCGGAGAGGGGGAACTTGCCCCACTCACCCCACATGCCTGGCCTGGCCACCGGGCTGCTTCTTTCTTCTTCTGCTTTTGGTGCACACAAAGAAAGCACCAAAAGTCTTTCTTTCTCTCCCCCAAACTCCACCAGAAATGAGTCTTTGGGACCCTGCAAGGCCTCCTGCTCCAAGAGGCAGCGCCAGCAAAGGTGCATTTCTGGCAGAGTTTGGGGAGAGAAAGGAAGACTTCTGCTGCTTTCCTTGCACGAAGCCAAAAGTCTCTCTCTCTCTCCCCCTCCCTCCCTCTTTCTCTCTCTCTGTCTCTCTCTCTCTCTCCTCCTGAGAATGGAGCTGGAGACGGTATCCTACGATCCCAAATAAAGAACGATCAATCAGTAGGAAAATGGGGTGGGGAATTTTCCTGAAGAATTTTTTTGGGACTTTCCCAGGATCTCTGGTCCGCGGGATTTAAAATTATGAGTTTGGTGATTCCTGAGGTCCAAAAGTTTGGTGATCCTTGCTCTGTCTACAAGACACCACATAAAGTTTTGGCCACTCAACTTCTACAACGAAGTAGTTTAATTTCTTCCTGTTTCACACAGAACTGTTTCCCCTTTTAAGATCTTGCTGGTTTAGCAGAACCTTATCTATTTTCAGATTCAGTGGCATCAGCAACAAGGAAGATGGGTTTAATTGTCCCAAAACAAAACACTGGAATCAAAAGAAGATAAAGACAATTGTTTCTTGGCCTTTTCCAAAAGTAGCTTGAACTTCTAGCATTTTCCTCTCTGATGTAGAACTATGATTGGAGTCAAATGATCTTAAGCATTATTTTGCTTAACATGTGAAATTAAAGATATATATTATAAAATAGTTAGTATTGGTATGTAGATTAACCTCAAATTGGTTGGTGACTCCAGATTTGTGTTTGGAACTTTGACGGATTCTTCTTCGGTTGCCTGCCATGTTTCTGGGGTTATTCCATCAATTTCTGTAGCCTTCCAATTTGGTTAAGATTTGAATGCTGATTTAATTTCATCTTCTAATACTAATACTAGAGGGTTAGGGTTAGCGTTAGGGTAAGAAAGAAGGAATATCTTCAGAGGCATCCTGTTTGCTGTACACTTTTTCAGTCTTTGATCCTCTTAGAACTATCTATTGATGTCTTTTGGCTGCCAGTTTGAGGTTGGAACTTCTTTCTCAGCTCAGATATTTTTGGACTATTTTCCTTGTTTTTCATATATGCTTCCATCTTCAGTCTTAACTGATGTCTTTGTCATTATCATTAAAGTTGCCTGCTTGCTTTAGCTGGGCAGCTGGCATGTTCTTCACAGTTATCTTCAGCAAGTCACCTTCAGCAAGTCACCTTCAGCAGGTGACCTTGCTGGGAATAGATAACTCTTGGCATACATTCCAAATCTTACTCACTCATCACTCCCAGGAATCTCTCCTTGCTCCAATGGGGCAGCATAGCAGGACTTGGGATGGACAGGATCTCATTAGAAAAAGTAAAAATGGAAAAAGAAAAATCAGATTAATGATACACACACATTATACTCCCATTTCAGGGGGTGCAAAGGATGATGCATAAAATCAAGATGGTGACTAGAACAGCCAAAGCTTCCATCTTGACTTTTAAAATTTATTCTACACCATGTCTTTATTTTTCCTCTTCTTATTATTATTGGTTACCTCTTTCTGCATTTTGCATAAAGTTACTTAAATCATGATAGAATAGCATGATAAAAATGCATGATGTATAGAGATGTCAGCCAGCAGATCAGTTAAATTTTATGATGGTCAATGATGGGAAATCCAATAAAATAAATAAAACTTGATACAAAGGAAAACCACAGCTAGCGTTTTTATTGACTGGTGAAGATGGAAGATTCATTCTTTTTTTTTTCCAGGCTTACGGATAAAGATGGATAACATGCTGGAGAAGTGAAGAGGAGATGACCCCAACCAAGTCAACAAGGCAATGATGAATTAAATCATGAGGGATAAGAATATTTCTATAATAAACATCTCAACAGGGAACATTTTCCCAATTGCCATTGTTATTCTGGGTTAACAATGGCAATTGGATTAAGAAGGCTTGTGTGGCCAGCAGCTGCTTTGTGAAGGGTCAAACCAGGCATTCTTGGTCAGAAGCCACAGGAAGATGGTGGAAGTCATTTAACAGATTTAACGGATAATCAGAGTTGGAAGGGACCTTGTAGGTCATCTAGTCCAACCCCCCGCCCAAGCATGAGACTCTACACCATTTCTGACAGATGGCAGTCCAGTCTCTTCTTGAAAGCCTCCAGGGATGAAGCTCCCACAACTTCCGAAGGAAACTTATGTTCCATGGGTTGATTGTTCTGTCAGAAAATTTCTCCTTATTTCCAGGTTGAATCTCTCCTTGCTCAGTTTATTCCTTGTCTGGCCTACAGTATTTTGGAAAATAGCTCAATCCCTTCCTTCTCTCTGTGGCAGCCCCTCAAATATTGAAAGACGGCTATCCTGTCTCCCCTGGTCCTTCTCTTCACTAGATTAGCCATGCCCAGTTCCTGCAACCATTCATCATATGTTTTAGCCTCCAGTCCCCTAATCCTCCTGGTTGCTCTTCTCTGCTCTCTTTCTAAAGTCTCAACACCTTTTTTTAGTGTGGTGACCAAAACTGGATGCAGTACTCGAGGTGTGGTCTTACTAAGGCTTTACAGAGTGGTATTAGTACCTCCCTTGACCTTGATTGTATCCCTCTGTTAATCTAGGACAGCAGAGGCTGAAAAGTGCAAGGCAGCGAAAGGACAATGATGCAGGGAAATAGGTAGGTGGGGGAAGTTGAAACGCCCCTGCAGTGCAGGCCAGTGGCTAAGTGCCTGAATTTTGGTGACCTGATTGTGTGTGTGTGTGTGTGTGTGTGTGTGTGTGTGCGAGAGAGAGAGTGAGAGAGATGCAATGGCTATAACTTTGGGAACCAATCATAAGTTCCTACATTCAGCATTGCTGTAACTTTGAACAGTTGCTGAATGGTCGTAACTTAAGGACTACCTTTAAGATAGGTCCAAAGGCAGTACATAAAATACAAATCCTGTACAATTCCAGACAAATGGCTATCCGATCTCTTCTTGAAAATGTCCGCTGTTGGAGACCCACAAATTCTGAAGGCAAGTTGTCCCCACTGAATGATTGTTTTCATAGTCAGGAAATTTCTCCTTAATTCTGGGTGAGATCTCTCTTTAATGATCTTCCATTCGTTACTTCTTAGAACTTAGATAACTTTGTCACTTTGAACGTCCACTAATCGGCATACATTAAAATGTAATTTTTTGACTTCCGGTTTGAGCTTCTTCGGTGACAGACCGAATCCTCGTCTCTGTGAGGCTTCGATCCGTGCTCGCCGCTGGAAACAAACTATAGAGAAACAGGGCCTATTTAGAGATAATGAGTGAAAATTTAATGGAAAAAGAGATTCTGCAAAGGTACATAAGATAGTATTGTTATATTAGAAACAGAAATAATTTTAGAAAATATGAAACAATGTATGATTAAAATGTTTGATAAAATAGCTATCGTAATCCAGTGGAGTGCTTGTCAATAAATAAATGTAACAAAATGAATACTAAATGATTTACAAAATATATGTGAAGAGAAATAAAGGAAAAATTAATTATGGAGATTATATGTGTCTTTAAGGAAGTATGATATTTAATTGAAACGAAGTGTTAAAGATGTTAAGATTTTAATGATTATTAATGATAGAACTGAATTGGAATGAGGGTTTATAATTACATATATTTATACTCTGTTCAGACAGAGTCATCCGGACTTCAACTCCCAGAATTCCCCTCACAACAATCCGGCTGGAGAATCCTGGGAGTTGAAGTCCACAAGCCAGGTTTAGGGACCCCCCCAGTCAAAAAACATTCCTTCCTTCCTTCCTGGGAAGGATACAAGGGCTGCCTGCCTAGGGCTGCCCATTGAGGTGTCTCAAGGGGAGCCCCTCCCCAACGCTGGAGAGCGGCCACTTTTGCCCCCTCAGCCACTCCGGACTTCAACTCCCAAAATTCCCCTCGCAGCAATCTGGCTGGAGAATCCTGGGAGTTGAAGTCTCCGGGGGGGGGGGGGAGAGAGAGAGAGAGAGAGAGAGAGAAGGACGGAGGGAGGGAGGGAGGGAGGCGCGCCGAAACCCGCCTTTCCCTCCACGATTCCTCCGGGACAGCTCTCCCCCCCCCCCAATTTTGCGCGCGCAGGCCGGGCGCGCCTCCGGGCGGGGCCGCCCCTTTTTCTACGCGGCGCCGGCGCTGCGCGGCCTCAGCTGACAAACGGGCCTCCTCGGTGCGTCATGGCTGCGTCGCTGAGGTAAGGCGAGGCTGGGGCGGCCGGACCTGCCGGCAGGGAGAAGCGGGGCTTGCAAGGCGAGAGCTGGGCCCCGCGCTCCAGGCTGGGGATGATGGGAGAAACCGAGCGCCTCCGGGTGACTGATTGGGCTGCCGCTGGGACGGCGGCGGCGGCGGCGGCTCCTCTCGCGGCCGGCTGCCGCGTTAGCGTCCCCCGGGCGAGTGGCAGCTCGGCTGGCCGGCAGAGACGCGGGCGTGGGGAGGGATTTTTCCCTTTCTGGGGGTGGTCGCGCTTCCCGCCTCCCGCAGTCGTTCCCCGCCCCAGGTGGATGCCCAGGTGGAAACTTCGACTTACGGCCACAATGGAGCCCAGAATTGATGCTGCTAAGTGAGACATTGGAGTGTTTTAACAGAGTTCGAAGGGACCTTGTAGATCATCTAGTCCAACCCTCCTGACCACCCACCCCCGCCAAGCAAGAGACCCTACACCATTTCTGACAGGTGGCAGCCCAGTCTGACTTTCGCCCCATTTTACGACCTTTCATGCCACCGTTGTTAAGTGAATCGCTGCCATTGTTAAATTAGTCACAAGGTTCTCTATGGAGATTCTCAGTCCTCCAGGTCGTGGTTGGCCCAGAGGTGCTTTTTTTCATGAGGCAACTGGACTTTTCCTTCCTTCCTTCCCCTGTGTGTCATATCTCTGATGCACACATATCTTCAGTCCTTTCTTCCTTTCTTTCTTTCTTTCTTTCTTTCTTTCTTTCTTTCTTTCTTTCTTTCTTTGTCAAACATGTACAAGATAACAAGTATAAGTACGAACATAAACAAGAGCAAAGGCAGTAAATACAGATAAATGGGGACAGTAAGACCGGGTCGGTAGGCACAGTGGCGCGCTTATGTACTTTCTGGATTTTCCTCTGAAGACATTTCGCTTCTCCTCCAAGAAGCTTCTTCAGCTCTGACTGGATGGTTGACTGATTTCCCCACCATCCACTCAGAGAAGAATGGAGGAGAAGCCGGAAGAAACATCTTCAAAGAAAAACCAGAAAGTCTGGTTGCCTCTTGAAAAAAAGGATAGTTTTTTGGGATAGTCACGCCGTTCTTAAGAGAATCCAGCTTCCCCATGGACATTGCTGGTCAGAAGGTCGTAAAAGGGGATCACCTGGGACACTGCAACAGTCATAAATGTGAATCCATTGTCAGGCATCCAGATGTAAATCATGTGACCACAGAGATGCTGCAACAGTCATAAGTGTGAAACATGGCACGTCACTTTTTTCAGTGCCGGTGTAACTTTGGACGGTCACTAAATGAACTGTAGTAAGTTGAGGACTACCTGTACAGGAGTGAAATCTGTGTCTTACTGGCAGCTTTCAAACAGGAGCTGCCTGTCTTAACCAGTGCAAGCCCAGTCTGTCTTGTGGGATGAGTATAGGATTCAGAGCAACCCCGCTTTAATTGTTACTTAATTGTTAATTGTTATAATGATTTCCGTGTTAATAGTTTTATTGCATTGTAAACTGCCCGGAGTAATTTTGGAAAGCAAAATGGGCATCATATAAATTTAATAAATAAATGCCATATAAACTATTTTCCAAGATAGTGTTTCTTGAACGTTTTGCCCTCAGGACTTCTTGGCACTTTTAAAACTTTGAGGTGGACCCCAAAAGAACTTTTATTTATATGGGGGATATTTCTCAACATTTACCATATTAAAAACAAAAATGGACATTCATAGGATATTTACGTATTGAATTGTGTAAAAATATTAAATATTTTGTTCACTAGGTATTACTGTAGGTAATAACATTTTTTTTGAAAAACCTTGTACTTTTAACCAAAAAATAAGTGGCATTATTTTAAATTTTTACCAATATCATTAATATATAATTTTGATTTTGATTTTGCAGACCCCTGAGAGGGACTTGGGTGACCCCTCCCCATGTCCTCTGAACACACTTTAGGAAAACACTTCTATGGGTTCAGAAAGGGCCTCTTGTTATATATAATTAAGGCTTCCATATTCTTACCTTAAATCCACTTGAAGGTTTTAGAGATCCCCTAACTATCTGAGCCTTGCTTCCATGGGAAATTTGGGGTGTGTCTTTTATAAAATGTTGGTGAACAAGTTTTGAATGGGAGTGCTTCAGGGTTCAGCTCTTTCCCCCTTACCTAGAGAGAGAAGTATTCAGGGAGAGGGGGTTGACCTTGACTTTCTTGTTGTCAGAACTCCCCATATCGATATTGTTGAATGTGTTTTGAACTGGGGTGATTCTGCAAAGGGGAAACCATAGCTGCAGGTCCACGTTTTAAAGGCCCTTCAAAACTGAGCTCTTCTGGAGCAGTCCCTGAGGTTCCCTGCTTGGAAAATTGGAAGAAAAATAGCCATTAATGGATAGGTAGTAGACACCTTTGGCCCCTTGAAAAAGAAAGAAAGCTCAGCAGAGGTCCGTGGGATGAGAAATTGTTGTGTTTCCACTTGTGAGTGATAGGCTATGTATGTACATGCTCTGTGCACTATTGATTGCAAGTAAGGGATAAATCTCTTGTCATTTAGGCTTATCTTTTAGGGTAGCACACCCATTACCCTTTGTGCTGTTTTTTGTGCAACCTGACAGCTGATGTACACATGCACAATTACACTTGGCTACCTGCACAGCGCTTGTCTCTTTGATTCTCTTACTGGTGCTGAGGACTTTTGACTTCTCCTCTGATCTGCACCATAGCAAGATCCTGCAGCTCAACCAGCACAATTCTGATCTTGCTTTTCCTTCTCTCCTCCCTCCTTGGTTTAGTCAAGAAATTTGCAAAATTGTGCTGGGTGTCTCAGGCTTCTGGCAGTGTTTCACTGCCATTTTGATGGGCTGCCTGCAAAACTCCTTATGGTTACAGTCATGCTGCAGTGTGCTATCCTGCCATTTTGAGGCTGGATATTTATGAAAATAGTATGTGAGCCACAAAATGCCCAGGAAACAGCTTAAAAACAGAACCATAAGGGGGAAGAGAGGAAAATCCTCACTGTAATTATATATTAATTGCATACTCACAACTTTGCAGCTTTGTCCAGTTTGCTCTACCCAGCCTGTACCTGTAGGACAGGGGTTCCCAACCTCTTCTATACTCCACACCCCTAGAATGCTTCAGATATATTCTCGCACCTCTTACAAAAGTAAATAATTATATGTATATAATTATGTATATACAACTATTATTTTGAAACTTCTAAACCCAGGTTTTCGCACCCCCTGGAATATCGTCTCATACCTGCAGGAGGTGTGAGCACCCCCGGTTGGGAACCCCTGCTATAATTCTGAAGAACCTGGATGAGGATTTAGGTCAGGGGTCCTCAAACTTGACAGCTTGAAGACTTGTGGACTTCAACTCCCAGAATTCCTCCTCCAGTCATGTTAGCTCAGGAATTCTGGGAGTTGAAGTCCACGAGTCTTAAACTTGCCAAGTTTGAAGACCCTTGATCTAGGTGTAGGAATCCCTTTGGCCCCACCAAGTTTGGGGAAGAAGGTGAGGAATAGCTCATGTTCTTGCCTTTGCTCACCCCAGGAAGTGCTCCAACTTCTTCCATTTCCGAACTGTGAGTTACAGGTGAAACTTGAAAAATTAGAATAACGTGCAGAAGTTCATTTATTTCAGTAATGCAACTTAAAAGGTGAACCTAATATATGAGATAGACTCATTACATGCAAAGCAAGATAGTTCAAGCTGTGATGTGTCATAATTGAGATGATTATGGCTTACAGCTCATGAAAACCCCAAATCCACAATCTCAGAAAATTAGAATATGGTGAAAAGGTTCAATATTCTAGGCTCAAAGTGTCCTACTCTAATCAGCTAATTAAGCCATAACACCTGCAAAGGTTTCCTGGGCCTTTAAATGGTCTCTCAGTCAGGTTCAGTAGGAATCACAATCATGGGAAAGACTGCTGACCTGACAGTTGTGCAGAAAACCATCATTGACACCCTCCATAAGGAGGGAAAGCCTCAAAAGGTAATTGCAAAAGAAGTTGGATGTTCCCAAAGTGCTGTATCAAAGCACATTAATAGAAAGTTACGTGGAAGGGGAAAGTGTGGAAGAAAAAGGTGCACAAGCAGCAGGGATGACCGCAGCCTGGAGAGGATTGTCAGGAAAAGGCCATTCAAAAGTGTTGGGGACTTTCACAAGGAGTGGACTGAGGCTGGAGTCAGTGCGTCAAGAGCCACCACACACAGACGGATCCTGGACATGGGCTTCAAATGTCGTATTCCTCTTGTCAAGCCACTCCTGAACAACAAACAATGTTAGAAGTGTCTTAAAGAAAAACAGACCTGGTCTGTTGCTCAGTGGTCCAAAGTCCTCTTTCCTGATGTGAGCAACTTTTGCATCTCATTTGGAAACCAAGGACCCAGAGTCTGGAGGAAGACTGGAGGGGCACACACTGCAAGATGCTTGAAGTCCAGTGTGAAGTTTCCACCGTCTGTTGATTTGGGGAGCCATGTCATCTGCTGGTGTTGGTCCACTGCTTCATTAAGCCCAGGGTCAATGCAGCCGTCTACCAGGAGATTTTGGAGCACTTCATGCTTCCTTCCACAGATGAGCTTCATGGGGATGCTGACTTCATTTTCCAGCAGGACTTGGCACCTGCCCACATGGCCAAAAGCACCAACACCTGGTTCAATGACCGTGGGATTACTAAGCTTGATTGGCCAGCAAACTCGCCTGACCTGCACCCCAAAGAGAATCTACGGGGCATTGCCAAGAGAAAGATGAGAGACATGAGACCGAACAATGCAGAAGAGCTGAAGGCCGCTATTGAAGCATCCTGGTCTTCCATAACACCTCAGCAGTGCCACAGGCTGATAGCTTCCATGCCACGCCGCATTGAGGCAGTAATTGCTGCAAAAGGGACCCAAACCAAGTACTGAGTACATATGCATGCTGATACTTTTCAGAGGTCCAATATTGTTCTATGTACAATCCTTGTTTTACTGATTGCATGTAATATTCTAATTTTCTGAGATTGTGGATTTGGGGTTTTCATGAGCTGTAAGCCATAATAATCACAATTATGACAAATCACAGCTTGAACTATCTTGCTTTGCATGTAATGAGTCTATCTCATATATTAGTTTCACCTTTTAAGTTGAATTACTGAAATAAATGAACTTTTGCAGGATATTCTAATTTTTCGAGTTTCACCTGTAGTTGTACAAAGACCATATTCACACATTATGCGACGTTATGGTTGGAGTACCTATGATTTACTGCATAAATCATCATCGGCTGGATTGACCCAATGGTTGAAGCCATAACGGTGATTTATAACCAGAATGGGCAGGTTTATGCAGTCATCTTTCCTTAAGATGCCATCCAATGGAGAGGTGGTGTAGTTGCAAACCCCTAAATTACCTGAGCAGCAGAAACAAGAATTTCCTGAAATTTATTTGGAGAGAGAAAGCATGTTGGGTGTGAGATCCCTGATATGACCTGTCTTACCAATTGTCCAGCACTTATACTTATAGGCCTTCTTTGGGCTGTTCCACTTCATGCCCTCTTTTACCCAGGCGAGACATCCTTCAGAGATATTTTACTAGACTTAAACTGGGATGTTCATTCCTCTGTGTAGGCTGGGACTGGAGCCATGTGAAGCCATGACTTATTTTAACTGTGGTTTCTTTAATAAGCCATGGGGCTGAATTTCCATAGCGTGCTAAACAATAAACAGTGATTTTCCAAGCCACCAGTATGAATAAGGTAACACTGCATGCTAAGTTGAAGCCCACAGTTTAGGACACTGTGTGAATCAGCTGGTATACCACACAATAAGCCATGATTCATCCTAGTTCAGTGACTTAGTTGTATAATTCATGCAACGTTGCAGATAGTACTGGCTGGACTTGTTTAAAACCCAGCCTTTGCTTTGCAAACTCAGCGGGATTAAGAGTTGTTTTTTTTTAATGCGTTGCCTGATACAGTATTTAAAATGTGCATTTTGGACTTCAGAAGCTGAGAGCTTCCTCATTGCTGCTATAAAACAAAGGTTATCTGCAGGGTTGTATTCCAAGAAAGCTATATAATAATTAATAATACATCAGGGAGTATTCATGCTCAGATTAATGGGGTTTGCTCCTAATTTTCTCTGTTTTTCTAACAGCTCAGCATAGGAAGAACAGCAAAAAAATTTAGAGTGCAACTGTTGTTTCCTCTAGAACAAGTGTCTTCAAACTTGGCAAGTTTAAGACTTGTGGACTTCAACTCCCAGAATTCCTGAGCTAACATGACTGGAGGAGGAATTCTGAGAGTTGATGTCCACAAGTCTTAAAGGTGTCAAATTTGAAGACCCCTGGACTAGAAGGTACTTTTGACATAGTATGCTTTAGTTCAGAGGTCTCCAACCTTGGCAACTTTAAGACTTATGAACTTCAACTTCCAGAATTCCGCATGCAGCACAAAGAAAGAAACACTTGATCTCTTGAGTATCAATATTTTGTTATTTTAGTGTGTGTTATTGTTAAGATGCCAGGAAGATTTGGCGGCATGCACATGGGGTAAATAAATACATACCAATTGGCCCATTTCTCTTTTATTTCTTGGTAATACTATCCCACCAAATTTAGAAATACCCGTATCTGCCTTCGTGGGTTGTGAACAGGCTGTAAAAACATGGCATGGAAGGGGGGGCAGACCCTCATAATTGCCCCCCCCTGCCCTTAACCAGCATCCCTTGAGGGACCCTGCTCATTTTGATTCATCACCTGTCACTTTTCGTCTAAAACGTTAGATGAAAACGAACTGGAAATACAGGTAATCCTCGACTTACAGCAGTTTGCTTAGTGACCGTTTAAAGTTACAAGGACACTGAAACAAGTGAGCTATGACTGTTTTTCATACTTACGACCGTTGCAGCAGCATCCTCATGGCCATGTGATTTACACCTTTGGTAGCATTGGGTTTAACCTTGTTTGGGGCTTGTGACTCGTTCAGGGCCGGGGATTTTTGTCGCTGAATGGGCTCAGAGAACCGCAAACGCTTCTGGGAATCGTTTTCCTTCGGGGCCCTTCTGCACCGGGCGACCGGCAGGGTTGTGTGATCCAGCTGCAACGGCCAGACTGGAATGCTCCCTTTGCAAGCGCTGGTGGAAGGGGGTGTTTTCCCCCACCCCTGCTTGGTCCATGAATGTTGTCGAGCCACACCGATGTTAATTTTGGTTCCTCTTTCCAGGGCAACCTTTTGGCTGGGGAATGAAACCTTGAGAGTCTCGGCAGCACTTTTCGCCTTGAACAGGACCCGCTTGTGTGACCGGCTGAGAGCAAACAAGGCCGTTCCCCAAAATGCCATCGTCGTCTTGCAAGGCGGAGAGCAGACCAACCGCTACTGTACCGATACAGGCGTTGTTTTTCGCCAGGTGAGCTTTCGTGGCAAGCGTATCTTTCGTTTCATCTCTCTCCCTCCTTCTCTCTCCCTCTCCCTCCCTCCCTCTCTCTGTCTCTCTCCCTCCCTCCCTCTCTCACCCTCTCTCTCTCTCTCCTTCCCTCTCCCTCCCTCTCTCTGTCTTTCTCCCTCACTCTCTCTCCCTCCCTCCCTCTCTCTGTCTCTCTTTCTGCCTCCCTCCCTCTCCCTCCCTCCCTCTCTGTCTCTTTCCCTCTCCCTCTGTCTCATCCTCCCTCCCTTCCTCTCCCTTCCTCTCTGTCTCTCTTTCCCTCCCTCTCCCTCCTTCTGCTTCCCTCTCTGTCTCTTTCCCTCTCCCTCCCTCTGTCTCTCTCCCTTCCCTCTCCCTCCCTCCCTCTGTCTCCCTCCCTCCCTCTCTCTGTCTCTCTCTGTCCCTCCCTCCCTC